GAGCGGGTCTTCTAATCTCCAATGAAACAAATAGTTCAGTATACATTGTAGTTCGTGGTTCTCAGTGTTCTGATGTAGTTCCATCAATGAATCGACAAACGTAGAATCTGGGTCTTTTTCCAGTTGCTGTAAATGTTCGAGTACATCTCTGTCAACCGCCAGTTTTAGTACCCTTATTGCCTTAGCGAATTCGTTCCAAACCATACGCTTACCATTCACTCGTTCGATCGCTTGTAAACCATACATTTGCCATCGTTCGTTTTCGTTCATCATGAGGCAGTCATGTTGTCTTTGACTAGGATGACCGACTTGACAACCATTACAGACAAAGTCTTTCAACTTCTTGTGCGACTGCATTCGCAAAAATTCCTTCCAATAAATTGTAAGATGTGGTTTTACCGTGTAGACACGCCATGACTGATGTGGAACAAATACAGAACTATGCCTGCTGCAAGACACTTGTCGATTTTATAGAGATACTTGTATAAAAGTTCATAGTAAGCCAACATTAAGCCCTTTTTTGTATCATACACGTGGGGAGGACGACGCTGAAAAATGCTTAGTCAGTAAGTTTCACCCGATCGTGTTTAAGCTCGCCCGCCTGACGTCATTGCATATAATTATGACGTATGTTAATGAGTGACGTCACTACGCACCCTCAATTGTACGAGTATTAATTAACACACCCTCAGCACCCTTACGCACCCTCATTTTTATGAATATTAATTAGCGCACCCTTACGCACCCTTACACACCCTCAAAAATAAGGGTCGAACGGCACCTATATTACTACTTATATCATGGGATTTCATTTTTGAAAACAATGACGCCTGCGAATCGCACAACTGTTTTCATAATAAAATTATACTTGCGTTTGAAATAAGCTTTCCCTTAGCAAAAAGGAGAAAAAGAACTATTGAATATGGTAAAAGTCCTTGGATGACTCAAAGTATTTCAAAGTCTATAGAAATAAAAAACCGTTTTTATAAAAAATGCCTTAAAAATCCAAATAAAAAGAACCAAACGATCTACAAAAGCTACAAAAATAAATTAAAACATTTAATCAAAATAACAAAAAAAGTTTATTTTGAAAATCAATTTATTAAATACAAAAACAATAACAAAATAACATGGTATATTAAATCGAAATAAAAACAAAGAAAAATTGCCGGACACGTTTCAATAAAAGAATTCAGATGTTAGTTTTTCTGACCCAGTTGTAATTGCAAACAAATTTAATGAATATTTTGTAAATGTTGGACCAAATCTGACAAAAAGTATTAAAAAAATGACACAATAAAATTCGAAAATTATCTCAAAGGTAATTATCCAGAAAGTATGTTTGCTGAACCTATTACTGAATATGAAATAATAACTGAGATTGAAAAACTAAATACAAACAAAAGTGCAGGATATGATCAAATTAGTTCTGAAAAGGAAAAAAACTAAAACACGAGATCAGTAAACCTCTTGCATATATTTTCAACTTAACTATTCAAAACGAAATAATCCCAGATTTGTTAAAAATAGCTCTTGTTACCCCTATTTTTAAAGCAAATGAGAAACATTTGTTTGAAAAATATAGACCAATATCGGTTCTTTCATGTTTTTCAAAACTACTTGAAAACTGGTGTATAAAAGACTGATTTCATACATTGAGAAAAACAAATTTTATCTAAACATCAATATGGTTTCAGAAAAAATCGGTCAACTGAACATGCTATTATTGAATTAACTGACAAAATATCAAAAGCTATTAGAATCGGTATTTTCCTTGATCTATCTAAGGCTTTTGATACAGTAAACCACGAAATTCTTTTAAAAAAACTTGAACATTATGGTATAAGAGGAAATTGTCTTAAATGGTTTGAAAACTACTTTTACAAAAGAACGCAAATTGTTAATATTGGTAATCATAGATCAAACAAAAGGACAATATCTACAGGAGTTCCGCAAGGATCAATTCTTGGAATACAACAGGTACACAATACAACATAACACAATACAACAGGTTACTCATGTAAAATTTTTAAGTGTAATGATAGACCAAAATCTGATGTGGAAGAACCATATAAACTCGGTTTTGAAAAATATAATTAAAGCCACTGCACTTGTTGCAAAATTACGACATTAAACAAACAGAAATACGCTAAAATTAATTTATTATGCATTGGTTTATCCATTTCTTATTTATGGGAATCTAACATGGGGGAATACATACCCAACAAGGCTTCAAAGTTGCTGAATGTACAAAAAAAATTATTAGACTGATCACCTTTAAATCCTATCTTGAACACACTGAACCGTTATTTCACAAGTTGAAAATCTTAAATATGTTTAAGATCAATGATTATTTAAGTTACTTATTCATGTACCGTATTAAATACTTCCAAAATTTACCTGAATTTTTTAATAATTACTTCACGTGGAATAGTGAAATATATCGTTATAATACTCGAAATGCAAACAAATTTTACGTTAACTATAGAAGATTGAACCAATTATGCCAAACATACCGTTATTGTTAGATATATAGATATAGACGGACAGCGGTCATACGCACGGACATGCACATTAGATATGCAGATTGGCCATGCTTATGTATTATTCATATTTTTGTTAAAAGTATAAGATAGATAGATAGATAGATAGTGTATTTAAAATTCACCTTGCAGCTGAACAGCTGAATTGCGTGATTTACAAGAGTATATAAAACATTATTTAAAAGATAGAATATGGGTTAATTAGGCATATTTACAAATGGTCATTAAAACGCTTAGTACTAAAAATTACATTAACTTAAGTTACTAGACATAGGAATAAAAGTTTTTTTAAATCTTTCTGTATTAGTTTCGAATCGTTCAAAGAGTCTATTGTTCCTAAGTTGGTAAACCGACTCATGTTTGGGAGGCAGTAAATTATGCAGTTTGTGTGTCGGATTGTTAGTAATATTTGTGAAAAGTTTGTTACACATTTCTTCGCGTCTTTGGAACAAAGTTTGAAGATTAAAATATTTTAAAGTTTCGTTATATGAGTTCGCGGGTAAAATGATCTTCAGTGATCGCTTTTGTACCGTCTCAAGATCTTCTGACAGGAAGGATGGGATTGAGTAATGGAAAACCGGGGCACAATATTCCAAAATGGGCCTGATAACTGTACAGTAGAAGTTTACAATGTCTTTCGGACTGACTTTTGCGCGCTTAAGTAAGATAATGAAGTAAAGACGTTTGTTGGCTTTTTTGATGACTTCGTTAATGTGGTTAGTCCATTTAAGGTTACTAGAGATGGTGAGGCCTAGAATTTTAGCGTTTTGGACAACCGGCAATTTCTTCCCGTAGACTGTAAGAGGGTCGAAGTTCTGTTTCGTGGATTTAAAGTCGATTTGGAGTTCTTTACATTTATCTGCATTAAGGAGTAATCTGTTGGAATTCGACCAGTTTTCTACTGTGGTAACTGCGTCTTGGGTTTTACTGGTATCGCCTTTTTTAACAACCTCAGAAACGGTTGTATCATCGACGTACTTCCAAGTAGATACTTCAGTGATTTTAAGATCATTGATCATCCATAGAAAAAGCCATGGCCCAAGTTTCGTGCCTTGAGGGACACCAGCCGGGATAGCACCCCACTCTGAAACGCAGTCGGTTGCGAAGTTTTGGTATCACTCCAAATTGGTTGGGGTCTATTTGATACAGAATAGCTGGCCCAATGAATTTAGAAACAACGAATTCTTCTGCTACTTTAGAAAAGGCTGGGGTGAGGGATATTGGTCTTAAATGTTTACAAATTTCAGTTACCGGTTTCGTTTTTATGATTGGAACAACATCAGCTGCTTTCCACGAGGCAAGGAGTCGTTGTTCATTAAAACTGCTATTGAGAATCGAACTGACAGGCTGGGCGAGAACTTCTGCATATTCGTTTAACACCCAATTCGGAACACCGTCTGGGCCTGAAGCTTTTCTGGGGTTAAGGGACGCAAGCTCTTTATACACATCAAATTCGTCGAGATGGAGGACAGAGTCATTTGGATCGTAGGAGGGAAGAGAAGTAAGAGGTTGGTAAGTTTTCATGGGGTCTAGGAAGGCTGTGTTTATGAGATTTGCAATCTCATTTGGAGACTTCCGGTCAAAATCGTCAATGTGAATTTGGTTATATAGATCTTCCGCTCCCGTTGAGGGGGTCATACCTGCAATCTGTTTTACTTCTTTCCACCAACGACTTGGTTTTGACTTTTTTAAATGTTCAACCTTCAACGAATAAAACTTTTCACGGCATTTTTTTCTTTCGCGATTAACTCGGTTGCGGTAATACCTAAACAGTTCGTTATTGCCGTTAGAAAATGCTGCTTGGCGTTTTTTTATAAGAATCTTAAAATTAGCTGTGATCCAAAGGGGATCATTCACATGTAGTGTTATTCTTCTTTTGGGCATTAGGATATTGATACCCAGGTTAATAAGATCAGTGAAAAGCTCAAGTTTTTCTTCACAGGTTTCGAGATGATTTAGGATGGACCAATTACAGGAGGTTAGGTATCTTCCGAGTTCGCTCTTTTTACTGGGACGCATGTCTCTACTTATGACAACCTTTCGACTACCTGATTTATCGCATCTGTTTTTAGGGTTTAGAATGACCACATTGTGATCTGAGAGGCCAAAGGGAGGATGTTTCTCTACAGAGTCTTTAGCGTAAAACGAGTATAAGTTGGTAATAATTAGATCAAGAGTCTTGTCAGCTCTGGTAGAAACATTGACCATTTGTTTGCATTGAAACTGGTTCAGTAGACGGTTAACTTTTAATTGGTTGAAGTCTCCTGATAACATTAGACCACAGCCTGGATAGTCGCTTTCAATGGTGGTAAGTGATATTGAATTAATTAAATTATATTCTAAAAACTATATAATATACTATTAACACCAAAATATATAATATCAAGCTAGTTATATTTGAGGTAAAATACTTATTAATACTATTTAATTTAAAATTTAGTCAGTAAAAGATGTAATTCAGTTCTGTTCATCGAGAAATTGTTGAACCAAATAACTTCGTAGCCCGCTTTTAAAACGTTCCAAATTAAGATTATGGTCTTTTAGCCATTCTGGCAAACTGTTCCATAAACAAGAAGCTCGGTAGCGAAAAGAACGTTGTCCGGTCGCTGTTCTATATAAAGGTATTTCCAATAATTCGCTAGATCTTGTGTTCAAATTGTGTAATTGTGATCTTGTTTGGAACATACGACATAAATATGATGGGGCCATACCATTAACACATTTATAAGCCATTACTGTATCTCGGAATCGCAACATATAATTGACTGATAACCAGTTAAGCTGTTTTAAAGATGGAGTGATATGGTCGAATTTTTTTGTGCCCGTGACAATACGTGCTGCGAAATTCTGAACTTTTTGCAATTTTGCAATGTTTTTCTTCGATGAATTAGACCATATGGTTGAACAGTAATAGAGTTTACTAAAAACCAGCGCGTTTATTAAAAGAATTAACGTCTTCATATCAAAAAGGTGCCTTGCTCTATTAATTTGACACAGGCTACCGACACAAGAGGAAACCAGTTTTGTGACGTGTTCATCGTACGTCAAAACACTATCCAGTGTCACGCCTAGATCAGTGGCTGAGGTCACAGGAAACAGTTTTTTCCCCAATAGTAAAATATGGAAATCTGCCGGTATCTGTTTCAACATATAACGAGTTGAGAACACAAGTAATTTAGTCTTATTGGGATTAATAAGCAGACTATTTAGAGAACACCAAGAAACGACTCTCCGTAGATCTTCGTTAAGCTTAGCAGCCGCTGAGTTCACTTCATTGACGGAAAATGACAAAAGTAACTTCGAGTCGTCGACGTAATACTTCAAATTACCATTCTTTGGTACCATAGGTAAATCATTAATATATATGTTGAATAACATGGGACCGAGAATTGAGCCCTGCGGAACGCCATGATTGAGTGTGCGTGTTTCAGAGACGATCCAGTGCGCACAACCTGCTGTCGTCCTGTCAAGTAACTTTTAAACCAACATAAAGCGTCATCGGACACTCCCAATACTTGGAGCTTTTTTAGAAGCAATACATGATCGATACTGTCAAATGCTTTAGAAAGGTCTAGTAGAATTACAGCTACGACCTCCTTGTCGTCCATAGACTTTAAGATCTTATCCGATATAAATAAATTCAATGTTTCAGTGGAGTGCAGCTTCCTGTTTCCACTTTGGTGTACGCTTAAGCATTTCTTCTGTTCCACATATGCGGTAAATTGTTCCAAAACTACACGCTCGCAGATCTTTGATGCAGCAAGGAAATTGGCCGATTATTTTTAGCAATTTCGTGATCCCCTTCTTTTAATAGGGGAATAACTTCTGACAACTTCCAGGCGCTGGGAAACAAAGATTCTCTTAAAGAGCAGTTAACAATATCCGTAAGAGGTTGAAGAATGTATGGTAAGGCATCTTATATCACTTTCATATAATGTTGCGTCGGTTAATTGCTGTACTCAATTCCTGCTGTTGTATCGTATCGTAGATATGTCTTGTAATATTGTGGCAAATCTATTAAACTTTGTTTAATTTAAAAGTGAGTAGTTTTAAATTAATAAATTCGAATATTCGTGTTCAAATATAACAAAATTATTTGCGTTATGCCGATGTTCTTGACGTTTACAGGAAACATCCCGTCAATCATTGCAAACAGTTTTAAAGTAATCTTATATAGTCAGTTGTTATCAAGCTTTTTACTCAATAATACTGCAGGAGGCCTACATATACGAGCCACGACGTCATTAATTTTGTGCAAGATAAATTTATAGTGCCAGATATTATCAAAATCAAAATTTTTATTTTCTTAAACGAAAATGCTCTCAAAACTGTATAGAGGGTGGAAAAGGGTACTTTCGTGAGCCGTGAATGGTCAATATTTGTTCGCGTGAAATGCTTGATTTTAGTGTCGTGAAATGTGATTTGTTCTACAGCCGTGAGGCGTGATTGTTGATAAAAATGGTCCGTGAAATGAGAATTAAGGATGCCTGTTTCGTGAACTGTGATTATTATAATAAACATGATACGCGATAATCAAATTTATATGATCTCACTCGATTGCACAAGAGTAAAAACTTCGGAGACCTTTCGCGATGAGGTTCCTGGCGCTGACTGAGGACGAGGTTCCTGGCGCTGAGGACGAGGACGATTCTCGTCACTCAAACTTGTAAGTTGTGATGTAGTTTTTAACTAACAGGTAGAGAAGTGAGAGAACTTAAAGCGTAGATACTGTACCATGCATTAAACATAGTCTTAATAGACCTATTATTATTATATTATTTTATGAGAATCTAGTTTTTCGTGAAATTGCTTTAAGACACGTGAATCGTGAAACGGCTTTTTTTTTCGTTGTGAAACGTGATCCATAAATTTCCACCTCTGTATAGTAACTTGTTTTGAAGATTTTTGTTCCCATGCTTAGTTCTTGAGATATTTCATTTTGTTTGTAACCATGTGACGTCATTTACTCAATTACATATATGGGATATCAGTAATTGTTTGCGTAATTGTTGCGTACTTTTATGGATTTATTTTAAAAAAAACAGTCTGCTTAATGATGCAGGTGCAATTTATCGCAAGGACGAACCTGCTGCAACACCGAGCAAAGGTGATTGCTGCCGAAGGCAGCACACTATTCTTAACATGAAGTATCGCGTTTACTTGTGTCCAGTCTCTTCGCCCGAGTTATGTATTGTAGAGATCTCGATTTTGTGTCCGTCTGTCTGTCTGTAAAGATGTCATAATTCCGGGGAAATAATTAAGGCTTCAGGAAGTTTTTTTTAAACGAGGGTGGCGGTCAAACTTTATTTTGTATTGCACATGGATCAGGTTCTTCTCAGGGACAGTTGCGAACTTATTTACATTTTCATGATGCAAAACATGGACAATATTTTCAATAATTCAGGTAAGGAAAGCTTTATTTCTTTCTGGTAAGATACATAAAGGCATCTATATTTAGAACACTATGATTTCTCAATTTAGATTCAGCATGAATTTATCATGAATTTCAGAATTGCCCTGCACAGTCTGATCGTCTTTTATAGTTAATATACAAGTAGTCAAAATCTACTTTTAGTTTATTTGTTTGTGTGGTGCAGTGCAGTGCATGATGTCACAAGGCGATGAGTTTATAGTGTTTATTTTACATGTTTATAGCAATTATGTACTTTCAGCACATTTTAAAAACAAACGTGGAATATTGTGTAGCAGGGCTTAATAATCAGGCTTACTATACTATAAAGATATTCCTATAGCAATCCAGTATGGAATGTTGTCTGCAAGGGCGGCTTTTCATTTTTGAAAAGGAGGGGTGGCAACATTTCTAGTGGGGTTAAAGACTTTCACACAAAGTAGGAGGGGTGATCGAGCAAAATTTTGGTGGGGTTGAACACTTTATATGACCTCGGGGTTAGAGAGATTGTAGGGGGGGGGTTAACCCCAACTAACCCTCCCCCCAGGAAATCCGCCCATGGTTGTCTCACCGTTGTCTGCACATATTAACTTACCAGCAGTTACATGTAATAGCATGTCAACCGATTTTGTACAAGGTATGATGGTCTGTAAAAATATATCTCTGAGATATGTCCATTGTTAGCATTAATATGAAATAATCCTACCGGCCTACATAATACATTCATATATTCACCTGGCTGTGTCACTACATTTCAGGGCATACTATATTTTTTCGATAATGCTCACAATTTCTTTCTTATTATATAGTTTTGAAGTTATGACTGAGTACAATCTTAATCATTACAAATGAAAGGTGTCATCTGAAGCTGATGTATTAAATTGAACAAAAATGTTAGTTGTTTTGTGATAGGGGTAATTTTGTATTATAGTATTTCTATACATGAAATTGTTATTAAATTCTACATGTCCAATGATTCATTCAAGTATTATTATCGTTTATGTATATATAATATTGTACAGTTGATATTGTACAATATGATATTGTACAGTTTCAGTGACAAGCTAGTCATGGTAACTGGTCATGCTATGCTCATGCTGATAAACCTGCATCTATTTGAATGATATAAATCATTAAAAACTTGCATAGCATGACTTGTTGCTATGGCTAGCTTCACCACTGACAGCATTATAATTATACATACAAAAGTATACTAAGAAATTATAAACATTGAAGGTATTCATATAAAACCACAACCATCCCATCCCAATTTGAGGTGACATGAGTTAACAAGTCTTCAAACACTCAAGCCAGTTCGATGCAATAATCAGTAGGTTAGAGTTATAGATCACTCCAAGTAAGAGCTTACCATGCTTGTTCCGTCCAGGTAACTCCAGCCATAAATGTTCCATACCATGCAGGTTGGGTGTTTTCTATATCATAACGCCGTTTGTAGGGCATATTATCCTGTATAAATATATGCCCCACACCCCCACCTTTGGTGCCCTAACGATGACGAAACTCCGTAACGTAACCTTGTATTGCAATATAATCGAGTAACGTAACTCCTTTTCATTTCTCAACCACGTTTCACCAAGGAGAGCCACGTCCATAGGATAGGTTTTCATTGTGAGCAAGAATTCATTAAATTTTAACATAATCGATTGTGCATTCAGATGCATCACCTTTAGCTGATCGTTATTAGCATTCAAAATTTAATGAATTTAATCAGTTGTGGTTTCGTTGACATCAGATACAATGATAATAATATACATCGATCGCACGTCCAAGTCACAGACGTGTCAACGCATGAAGATTGACGATTTAAAAAGGCAAAAACTGGCTCTATATTTGATTGTGACAGATTTAGAAATTTTGTTTGCTACATGCAAAATATGAGCCTTCCAAGATAAATGTTCATCTAGTATCACACCCAGGAACAGGACTTCTTTTGCCTTAGCAAGTTTATGGTTGTTCACTTCAATGGACAAGTCCACAGTTAATTTTTTTGTCTTGGTTTAAAGATCAAATATTTAGATTTAGAAACATTAATTGATAACTTATTTGCCTTAAACCATGCATTCTGAAAACTTTAACAATCCAGTATTTATCGTGTTTGTCAGAAATGCAAATCATTATGTGAGAAGAATTCATTTGTATCATCCGCGAATAAAATCAATTCCAAAGTGTCTGAAACATTACATATATCATTGACATATATTAAAAAAATAATGATCCTAGTATTGATCCTTGAGGAACATTGCAAACTGAAACTAGTACCGTGGTATTCTACGTACTGTTGTCTGTTTGTGAAATAACGTTTTATCCATTCAAAAACCAAACCACGAACCCCATAATGATCCAGTTTGTCTTATAAAATGCTATGGTTTACTGTGTAAATTTTCTTTGCATGGTCTATCGCGGCAGGAATTTTATCATATACATAACGGAGAGCCAGAGACGTTGAATGGCCTTTCCTGAAACCAAATTGATTTTGAAATAGAATACCGGACTTATTAAAGTTATCAAATAATCGTTTATACGCAACTTTTTCAAACACCTTCGAGAAGATTATATTAATAGAAAAATAGAAAATATTCCAATTTTCTTTAAACGGCCAGGAACTACATACTAAATAATAATGGCTATTGACAGTGTTTATAGACACCAAAGACAGTAATTAATGTGACCAAAAGTACAATTACAAGTACGGAATATCATATTACGTAAACAACAACTTGATATTACCTTAAAAGGCAAGACTATTTATTTCTGACCAATGGGAATTTTGCGTACGATTCGTACGCATAAACCCACTTTATATTGACTTCAGTAGCAGGCTCTATTTCAAGCATAGAACCTGACATGCAGGCTAATTTACTCCTGAAACACTCTAGAATTTTATCAACATGCAGTCAAGTCAATAACCAAATAGAATAGTATGCTTTGAAGTTTGAAGTTGGATATT